GATTTAAGTGGGAGGGGTATCATTAGTTCGGTCTTAAGCAGGGCTTTCTCCTAGTACCCGAGTTTGTTTGTTTTGTTAAGTATTTAGGAAAAATATATGCATATTTATTAGTGAAACGTTAAAACCAGTTGAAGGGTTCGATAAAAGATGTGATAACTCATTGTATATTGAAGCTAGGATGATAAAACTTTGAGCTTAAGCATAAAGTACAACAGTGTTGATGATGTTATCATCAGATTCACAGTTAGACGTTTTCAGTCACTTTTTTTGGTCATTTATTTGTTGTTACGGTACTTTTTTTTATTGATGAGTATATATCAGTTTTTTAAGAAGAACTCGTTGTAGAGATGACGGATTTAAGTGAGAGGGGTATCAATAGTTCGGTCTTGAGCAGGGCTTTCTCCTAGTACCCGAGTTTGTTTGTTTTGTTGAAGGATAGTTGCTAAGAAGCTTTTTGTAAAAAAAATAAGGAATGTTAGGAGAAATTAAATAATTTACAAAAAAACAATTCACTACATCGTATAGTAAACTTAGTGCAAAATTTTACGCTTACAAATTAAAAGTGCACTTTTACATAAATTTATTTGATGATATTCAAACCATGCACATCATGAATTCAATTCAAGTGTTTAAGTAGAATTTAAAAAGTAAAATGTGAAGAATAAATTGCGTAAAATCCACACAAATTATCATTTTTTTTATTTTTCTGGTAACCATTCGCCGATACTTTTTTTGTTACAAAGGATTTTGTTGTTCTTTTTTGCTCCAAAGAATCAGCAAAAAAGTAATTCTTGTTCAATCGAGCTATCATGATCCAGTGTTCTCCTCCATCAGTGCTTTGAGCTGAGTTCATCATTGCAAAAGAATATTTTGTTTGTTGAGGTACTTTATCAGAGGGGTAAGATCCACTGTACTTAAACCTGAGCTCAGGAATTCTTTCAATAATTTTGAACAAGTGAACTTGAAAAATGAACTGATCTAAAAACAAAGAACTTGATAGTTTGACTTTCACGTATTTAGGCATTGAATCAACAATGTCCAATACACAAGTCTTATGTAGTGGGCAAATGTTATTGAACACTGTCTTACATTCTAGGTTGAAGAAATGTCTCGGTTTATCAATTAAACAGCATTCATTTTCTATTTTTTCTGAAGTTTTAGCTCTGAAGAAAAACAAAATAGATAGAACAGAGACAATAACGATGGAAAGTCCCGAAAAAAGTTACCATGTGTCTATAGGAACCTGAAAACTCAAAAATAAATAAACATTGTTAGCGACTGTTCCCAATTTGTCAATTTGAATGTTTGATAGTCTTTTTCCCAAGCCTATCACTTCCGTTTCTTGCTCCAAGTGAAACTGGACAAACATTTCAAATCTCAAGCTTTCTCTGCTAAGTTCTGATTTATCCAACTGTTCAGCTGCATCCTGTAAGAAGTCAAGTCAAAAACTAGATTATAGTGATTTTGAAAATTTCCCATAGGAAGAGCTGGAAAATCTTCGTTAAACTGCATTGCTTTCATTATTTTAACATAGGGGCGACAAGGAGAAGTTGTATCTAAAGAAATAATTGCTCTTTCACCCCCGAATAATTCTAAGCTCTCTTAAATGAAATTGTTGATAGTTGAAAGGATTTCCATGAAATGATCCCGCAACGGCTGAATTTGTATTCATTGCAGCAGCTCTTCTCATTGGGGCATCATTGAAAACATTTCCAGAATAAACTGGTTTTGACAAGACGGAATGATAAAGAGTCTTGCTAACGTTACCATGTAATTTCAATGAGCAGATTCCTTTTCCAGATTGCATTGCAAGTATTGATGATTAGGTTCAGTTACTAAAGTTCTTCTAGTAAACAGCGAACAATCAACAAATTTCAGGTTAACTTTTCGGTTATTAGACAGCATGTAAAAATTAGGTCTTGCTCGAATTGATTTAATTCCAAGTTCAGTTTTTCGTAGTAATAATTTTTCACAAGTAAAATCAATGGCAAGCCTGCCATAAAGTGAAAAAGTTATCCCTGATTCTAAAAAGAGTTAGTCCTATCAGTGAACGGATACATATCAAATGCTTCCGGAAAATCTTCAAAACCATATCCGTGACAAGCAACTTTTCCTTTATTACTCACTGCCATTGAGTTGAATTTTTGCGATGTTTGTGCTTTATGAAGATATAATCGATTGGCGTTGTAAACCATTGTATTGTTAAATTAAACTTTATAATTGGAGAATAGAGAATAGAGAAGATTGTATACATAAATTAAGTAAGTTTGTAGGTCCTCATCTGAGTCATCTTCTGATTTCGCTTTATATTATGCTTCTCCTTTTTTAAAAGCATCAAACAGACTTCCTTTGAATAATTGAAGCTTTAAACTGAGGTGGGTTTCACGTATATCCAAATAAAGGCTACGGTCCGTCTCAAATTCAAACTCAATACTGCTTTCATCCAGAGATGTACTGGGAAATACTTCTTGGCTGTAAGATGAAATAATTGTTTCCGAAACTGGGATTTAATAAAAAATTTCCAAAGACGAATTTGTAAAAGCTCCGTACCGAAACTGACTACTTTGATTTATACTCGTTTTATTTTGTCAAAAATGTCTTTGCGAGAGAGACTGGTTTCGAACTACTTTTTCGAGAAATGTCTCTACTAGTTCTACGCTTGGTTTTTTTTTTCCACCTCCTAAATGTTTTTGTTCCAACATCTTGTGCTAATGTTTTTTTTTGTTCCACTAACGACGTCTCCCATCTCTGTTGTTGCAATTTCAAATAAATCTCCTCTTTTTCTTTTTCCAGCTGAGAATGCAGTGGAATGCAGTTCTCCCAAGAGTTTTCGCAAGAGCACCAAAACCTCTTCCACGCTGTCTTCCATGTCCACGAAAACTGTGAAAATTAGCTGAACTTTGAAAAACTTTTTCGTATGAAGTATATATCAAAAATGATTCTCCGAAATCTGAAAACAAGAGAACAACTCGTGTAGTTCCTAAGAACACAAAAGGAAGATTTTCCGCCTGTAGTATCCCTCAGTTCTATTTTTATGCTATGGAAAGAGTTTTATAAATAATTTTTAACTTTAAATTTGTAAAGGATTGATAATTCATGTACTGTAGTGTAGGTATATCTCCATTTTTTTTTACTTTGGAAATGAAAGAAATACAACGCAGTAAGGGAGTTTTTGTATCATATACTATTTTATATAAAATAACTATAAATCATTAGGGAATGTTTTCTTATGTCGTGTATTAACCCCCATGTATTAACATAGGCTATAGAGTATCCGGTCAGCAGGCTATGTATTAAGCTAGGCTATAGATTTTCCAATGTATTAGGATAGGGAATAGGTTTCCCAATGTATTAAGATACGAGGTTCCAGATGGTAAGATGGTAAGTTTCAGAAAAATTTTTGGCGCCCGAATTTTTTGAGCTCGATTTTGCCGATACTTGCGTTTCTTAGCTAGCTTCTACGGTTTAGATGTTTTAGTTATTGTTTTATAGGTTTAATTCAACGAGAAAACTATCTAAAGCTAAACTGAAACCTAACGAAACTTCGAGAAAAAAAATCATGTTTTTTGAAGAAAAAAAATTATATTCAAAAGATGAAGTATATAAATTACTGCTTCGTATAATCATGTAACCACAAGGTTACAGTTAATTAATCAATACTGAAATGAATGCTTTTACACCATCAGTTATTTACAAGTTCAAAGGTTTTGTGTGTATTCCGTCGTCCTGAACTTGTCTTTTGGGGTAAAAGTAGCTCAATCCCTTCTTTGTTTGCTCGTATGTAGCAACCATATGATTAATGGTTCTAAATCCTCTGTTTGTTGAAGTCAAGTTGATTGCTTCGTCGATTACTTTCCTGTATTTTTCCATAGGCCCATCACCGGATTCCTCTAGAATTCTTTTATTCAATCCTTTGCTGCTAAACTTCATTTTGTCTGATTTGTTGTCATAGCAACAATAAGTATTGCTGCATAAACATAGCATCTCCGTACACCTAAATTCTTCTTTGAACAGACCAGGCTCTCGTTTATCGTGCTTCTTGTGAACGCTACAACATGTTCGTCGATAAAAGTTTGTTTTTGAATCTGCTCTGAATGAATCTCTGCAATCTTTTTCTCTCAATTTTTCCCAGTCAACTTTTTTCTCCGGACGAATACAATCATACAAATTTTCCTCAGCAATAGCTAAATAAAGCGATTCCGTGTCCATTTCTAATTCCTCGAACTTATTTACATCACAAAATTTGTCAAAAAAATTGTAGTAAAGCTCAAGCATTCTCAGCATTGCATACTGCAGAATGAAAAATCCGACTATTATGGGTTCTGTGTGCTCAATTGTTGACTTTAGTAACTCAATCTCGTACAAGTCTTTCTGAACAGTGTTCAATCGTTTGAAGAGAGGTTCATTAGTTGCTTTGTGTGTTTTCTCATCATTCAAATACTTTGTGATCGTATGTCTCGATCTGTCCATTATCTGGTAACCGTAGGATGAATTGCCTAAAAGCTTCATAGTCTCTGCAACAACACCGGATAAAGGGTTCTCATCTCCTTCCCTTCTATCATCAACAACCGACTGAACAAACTTGTTGAAGCGTTTTCGAGGGAGATACTGTACAAAGCGGTAAACTTTTGTACACTGTAAGCCAAGTTCCATGTAGAAATTGAAAAGAGGAGTAATGATGGAACCATTTTCTAGTTTGAAACTAGATATTAGCATACGCTGGGGATGCTTCAGAAGATCATTTTCAATGGCATAATTTTGCATATATTCCCCAATGTCATTTCTTCCAACTTCAGTGTTTTTAAAAATTGGAGGAAAATTAGAAAATTTTGCTTTCAGTTCGTCTGGAACAACTAAGTCGCACTGAATATAGCCATAAAGAGATCCATCTCTTATTTTTTCCAATAAAGAATCAGTAGAGAGAGGTCTTTTGTAGGGAAAGTTGGATCGGATATGATTCTTCATTTTTTCGTTCGTTTTGAAGTTTTGCCACCACTCACATTCCCACATCTCTTCGATTTTGTATCCTTTTTCGCGAATATACTCACGTCTCAAGTCATCCATCTCTCTCCTTTTGTTTCCTCTCTCAATATCTTCATCGCTAATGGAGGGAAGAGTCTCCTGGCAAGGACAAAAATGGTAATAGCATCCCATTGCTTCAAACACTGTTTTGCAGTGATTGCAATATCCATCAACATTAAAACAGTCAGTTTTCTTTTGATTTCCAGATGTAAAGAAGCTCTCAATTCTGCATTCTGGTCTGGTTTCTTGGTAGTAGGACATGACCATGTTCTCAAAATTGCGAGATTGGTTATGTCTAGCATTGAATTTTTGCATATCGGAATCAAACTCCCATCTTGTGTACAATCCTGTTGGCATGTCTTGACATATTGAATAGGGATGCTGGCTCGCATCAATTCCAACAATTGATTTGCAGACGTTTGAGGAATCCCGGATAAAGGTTTCATCCACAACAGCTTTTCGAGTAAACACAATTGATGGTCCACCCGTCATATCCTCTCTAATTTTCTCGCACAAATCTCTCCCCTTTTGTCTCACTGAAAAACCCTTTTGTCTCACTGGCTTTGTAAGCTTTAAGAAAGGAGTCTAGAGGTGTTGCTCCACCCAAAAATTTCTTGATATCGAGAAACTGTATATCTCCAAACTTGAAGGATATGAAATCGTTAGCCTTTTTGATAACCATATGTTCAGCTTCTTTATCATTGATTAAGTAGGGAATCAGATAGCTCTTGATCAAGTTCAGATCATATCTTCCACTGTTAAACCCAAATACAGGTAACGTGTTAACATACCTCTCCAGATTTTGTTTCAAATCAATCAGCTGATTTTTCTGCATTCTCAAAAACTGAGTTGACATATCAGTTTCCTCTGTATCTTCTATACATCCATCTTCGTATTCAAAGTTTTCAGTTGGAAGATTTTGACATCTTTCATTGAACTCTTGGAAAATTTTTGACATTCGCTCATTCATTACTCTTTCAACATCTTGAAACTTAGTTCTCATTTCGATCTTACTTTTCTCAGCCAAAAGTTCGAGTCTGATTACAAAATCGATAATAAGCTTTTGCTGATCCTTGTTATAAAGAAAAATTGGTTCATCTATCAGGTTCGAGGATATTGATACAGTAATTGGAACGTGTTTTCCAATCCAAGTTGTTGTTTGGGTTAGCTTTCAGTTCATCTGATGGAACACATATCGACTCAAAATCGAAAATGGCTAGGTTGTTGAATAGTGTGTTATCTTTCGAAACTGGGATATTGAAACCTTCCAACTTTTCAAATAGCGTTTCTCGAAGTGTATATACATTCTTTGGATAAATGTGTCGCACTCTATCTTTACAAGACATAAGATGTCTGTTGAAGTTGTCTGATCTGTTGAAGAAACAGTCGCAGCTAGGACATCGAAAACACTTGAAGAAAGAATCAATATCATTCGTATGAATGATATGGTTGTTGAATCTTAGCAATTTCATTGTTTTTTCGAATTATCCAATACTTCGCCTGGCTAATTCTCCAACATATTCTCCTTCCTGAATATCAAAATCGTAAATGAATATGTTACGTTCAACTAGTCCCTCTACAACAGGTAAATCATCGATAGACACTCTACGAAAATTCTTCAGATCGTATCCATATTTTGATATAAACTCTGTAAACAGCTGAGATGTATGAGCATCGAGGTTACTATGACCGTGCAAAAACATTGTTAACGCACGGAAAAGACAAAGATGATCTTTGTATGGTTGTTTATCTTTGTCCGATAAAAGACAGTTTACTTGCGTATGTCATAGTAAAGGTTCAGGTAAGACAGAGTCTGGACATCCCATTGGGATGTTTTTCAGTAGTGCAGCAAAAATAGTAACATTTGTGATCAACTTGAACCTCCACTTTGTGTTCTGACGTTCTTTGGTGCATTGCTCCACGATATCAAACTTTTCAACTTTTCCCTGGATTGTAATCAAATCCGCTTTCGTACATAGTAAATGCGATTTTTCGAACAAAGTATTGTTTTCGTGTGCATAGTAATAACGATATTCTCCCGTTTCGACATTACGGAGAACAAATCCAAGAGCAATATTGATTTTTGCAGCGGAATCTAGCTTGTTGAAGACTGCTTCAAGCTTCTCGTTGTTAATCTTGGTATCTAACTTTGACATTTGAAAGTTAAATACCTTATGACTCCCATTCTCCATCTCAGTGTCAACCAGGAAGTGTTGACCAGCACTCAACTCCTCTTTGAGTTTGTCTCCATCATCCCCTTCCTCTTCCACTATCTTGTTCAAGTCTGCCACCGTATCACTTGGTTTCCGCTGTTTCACTCCATGTTCTTTTCTCCGGTGTTGTTGGAGCGACTAGTAACTCGGAAACTCCTGCTCGCAAGACGAGCAAACCGTTGATTGCTTGGAAGTTGATGGAGCATGTTTTTTGGCCACGTGATAATTCATTTCTTGTTTATTGTAAGTGAAATACTTACAATCAGGACAAGAAATAATCCCTGCTTGACAGTTTTTGCGATGTCGAGCCGCATCGGACCTCCTGTACTCTTTACCACAATCCTCGCATTTCACTTTCTCATTCCTGTTGAGTGATGGCATCTGAACAAAAGTGGGATATTTATTGTGTATCAAAATTAATTAAAAATACGTGGTACGTACAAAATTGGGAGATTTAAAATGTTCAAAAAAATTTAATAAAAATAATTTTTACTTACTTTGAATTGTTAAAAACATTTGAAATTTATTTCAAGTAGTTATACAAAGTATAGAGCAGTTGCTTTTAACGTAAAAGAAAATCAGAATGAAATAAGTTTTTTTTGCTTTTTATTAGAGAAAATCAACCAATCAGAATTGAGAATTTTTTTAGTAACACTGTTTGTTGGAAATCAACCAATCATAATTCAGCATTTTCTAAAAGTGAACTGTTTATTATTTAAAAAAATTTAATCATTATTTGAAAAATGTCTATCAAAAAACATTTGAGCTTCCTCCAGTTACTTTACAAGAAAAAGGAAAAAATTCCAATTGATTTTCTTATTGATGAAATAGATGTTGGCTCTTACTTTTTTCATAATTTTTTGGACGTCTTTATTGTACAAAATAGAGTTAACCGACTAAGTAAAGGTCTCTTCAGAAAAACTTACTCAATTAAAGAGTTTACGTTTGATTCACATATTGCGTATCAAATTTTAAACTTACAGCTGAATTACACCTCACAAGGAAAGAACTTTTGTTTATTCTCGAGAATTTGAAATTGATCAAAAAATCGTACGATAATATATCAAAAACTCTTTTTATCCCCTATCCAAATCCCAAAATTGTAAAAACACCTCAGCAAAGTTCTTTATTCCTTCATTTCTTTAAAGATTTTCAAAGTTCAAAATCCTGCTTGATTCGGTTTGGAATCAGATTTCCAGAAGTCTGCTTTGAAAAATTCGTCAAATTTGAGTTATCCTCCCAAATTTAATTAAAAATTAAAGAACTTGACTATCTACTTAAAAATCAGCAATTTCTCATTGATTACATACAAAAAATTCAATTTACTTGATGAAAAGTTGCAGAGATGTAACTTTTATTAATTTTCTTTCTTTTGTTACTTATATCAGCAATATTTCTTATTTTTACTGCAAACAACTTTTGGTCATTTACTTTTGCAATTGCTTTTGTGTTTATTTTTACTTATTTGGAAGATTTAAGTCCTTAAAAGGGTCTTCTGATTGGATGCGACAACTAGAACAAAAATGAACTTTTTTTTTGTGATTGGAAACGACAATTCCCAAAATGGAGCTTTGTTTCCGATTGGACACGACGTTTATCCAAGAATCCCATAAAATGAAGCTGAAATCTGATTAGACACGACTACAATCCAAATAAGGAAAATCAATTCTGATTGGTTAAACCCACACGTTCGAGTTGAAGGTACCCCTAACTCCTATCTAAAAATCATTTTATTTTCAACTTAACTACCGTCAACTACCTGCTCTCTCAGCTCTAAATATCTTAATTTCAACTTATCTTCCGTCATCTACCCCTCTCTCAACTCTTTCTTGTTTTTACTCTCGTACTCAATTTATTGCTCAAAATGATCTTCTCAGTGCAAAACAGCAATCTGATGTACTCTGTAGAATTTTCTCCTGATCTAGTACAAATTCAAGTGCGAGAAACAGTCTCTGGAGTTTTTCTGGCACGAATGGATATCCCAATCCAAGTCTGGCACATGGTGGAAGTGATGCGAAGGGATTTCAACGAACATCATTTGATGCAAGTTCCCATCACAGAGAACCAACTTGGAACAATGCAAATGATGGGGGAAGTTTCTGATCATGTGGGAATGAACTATCCCGAGATTCCGGACTCAAGATTTGCGGCTCAACCAGTCGACGACTTCCTCTTTCCTTGGGAGGAGGAAGGATCAGTCGAAAACCCCATCACAATAGATGAAGATGAGGGATTCTCAGAAACAATGACGCCTCAAAACACTCCTCCACAACAACCACCAACAATGGAACCTCGTCCAGCTCTGCGTTCTATAGAGAACCTCCAGAACTCTTCTGCTGCTCGACTGCTCTTTGATTAAATGTTTGGGTAAATAAAGATTGTTTGGTTTTGACTTCGTTTTCTGTAATTAATTTCTTCAATTTCATTTTAATTATGAGAATAGATGAGACGTTCACGGTAAATCATTGAAAAACAATTAAAACTTAATTTAGTGCTCCGAACTCGCACATATGTTAAAAAACTTGATTAATTTTTGCACAAAAACTCGGAAAAACACTAGAAAAACTGTACACAAGTAAAAAGTTACCTAATCGATATTGCATCTTGTACACACTTTTAGCCTTTTGCAGAAAAAATTGAAACACTTTTTGCATTTTGTCGAAAAAAAGTAAAATACTTTTCGCATTTTGTCGAAAAAAGTAAAACACTTTTCGCATTTTGTCGAAAAAATTGAAATACTTTTAGCATTTTATCGAAAAAAGTAAAACACTTTTCGCATTTTGTCGAAAAAATTGAAACACTTTTCGCATTTTATCGAAAAAGTAAAACACTTTTCGCATTTTGTCGAAAAAATTGAAACACTTTTCGCATTTTATCGAAAAAAGTAAAACACTTTTCGCATTTTGTCGAAAAAATTGAAACACTTTTAGCATTTTATCGAAAAAAGTAAAACACTTTTAGCTTTTTGTAGAAAAAATTGAAACATTTTTCGCATTTGTAGTGAAAAAGTGATACACTTTTCGCATCTTGTTAAAAAAAGTGAAACACTTTTCGAAACTTCTCAAAAAAGTTGAAACACTTTTTGCATTATGTCAAAAAAATTGAAGCACATTTTACAACTTGTTAAAAAACTTGAAATGTTTTTTGCAACTTTTTGAAAATCAAAAGAAAAATTACTTCTTTCTTACATGTTTGAAAATTTTTTTTGCAAATGTTTTTGACAACGGTGATTTTTTTCGGTAATTAATGGTAACTTTGTAAACATATGAGTGAAAATAGATGGAATATCAGAAGTTTTTTATTGAAAAATTGACATGATCCCTATTTACAAATCCATAACCATTAATAAAACAGCCATTTATTTTTAACAAATCATGTTCATATTTTGAGTTTTGTACTTTACGAACTCTTTCCAGAAAAGCTGAACCAATAGTTTGTGTGGAAGCTAGTTTCTGGTTAGAACATAAATAGTGACGTTTGAATTTTTTGCGTAACAGTCTTTTCTTTGCAACACTTGGCATTTTTGCTGCTCCTTTCCATTTCAAATTGTGATGAACAGCGCGGTCAAGTTGATTGAAAACTTCGCCAGTTGATGAAATAACATTCGAATAAAATCTGTGTTTGTACAGAGTGTAAAGACAATCAATAATTTGGTATGAGAAATGAAAATTACCCAATCGTTGTAAAATTTGATCGAAAGATGAACCAATCAGAAGTATGTGGAACTTACAATTTTCCAAAGAACAGTAAGAATTGTGGGTAGAGACACAAAAATTATTGGTTACTAAATATTTTTCGTACAAATCACTGGAAACGGAAATAAATAGCGATTTTTGACAATACTCTGAATAAAAGCAGGGAAGAGCTTGACACATAGCTGCAGCCATCTGAAACAATGATTTTTGCTGAGAATTGTGGATTTATATAGGAACACTAACACCTACACAATTCCATATTTGGAAATTTCCCTCAAAAATACCAATTATAGTTCTATTTTCTTTTATGGTTCAGTGAATGACTCATATTGTTTACTTCCAGTTTCATTTCATCTCAAAATCATTTCTCTCATTTCTTTTCATCTGATCAGTCTGTTCTTCAAAAAAGTACTCAAGAAAAGACACAAGACCCAATTACTTTGAATTTTCAAAAATCAAACAAGAATTGGGAGATTTGCTTGGTCCCAAAAATCCTACAAAGGGAAAGGTTATTTTGAACCCTGCTTTCAACTATTCAAGAAAATTGAGTTGGGACAACTCGAAAAAAGACAGCAAGTCTATCTTGGTGAAAAAGAAGGAGAAGCAATCTCAGCAATTAGAAATACTGGTATTCACGATGCTGAAAACCTTGGACTCGTTCCTATATTGGAACTCACTTCTGACAAAGAGTCAACTATGGATCAGGAGCTTGCCAACTGCAACAAAGTGTATGACATATCAACATACAAAAGAAGACAAGTTTGTGTCACGATCAAGAGGTACAATATTAACAAACCTCCCTACATTCAGATTCGACTGTTCACCGCAAAAGATAATGAAGCAATGAAACAAGTTGCCTATGTCAATTATACTTTGAACGAATTCAAAGAACTGTCCCAAATTTTGGGAGACTTTATGTTTGTTGAGAAGTGTAATGTACAATAAATTGTATTATTTATGTTTTTTGTCTTGTAATTTAACTATTTATCCTCAAAATTATTTTTCATTTAGTATTGGCGTTGAACAGTATGAGTTGGAATATTGGTTTTTCAAGAATTTTAATCTTAAAACTTCACAATAAATTGGGACTTTTTCATATTGTTCTAGAAGAAAAGTCCCAAAAAGTTTCACTAACAATTATAGAATCCCAAAATTTACCAAACTTACAGAATTTGGATGTAGACTCACAAATATCTCACTTTGAGTGGATTCTGCATAATGGTAGAAGAAAAATTCTTATAGGATACAGATCAGATACCAAAAGAATAGAACTTGTAGAATATCGTAGAAATGGAAATCAATGGAAAAATAATCAATCTTTACAACTACAAAGAGAAAAATATGATAAATTACTCCATATGCTTCCTTCGTTACTA